AGCATGGCTGGCTGGGGAATTCTGGGAGTTGAAGTCCACTCATCTTAAAGTGGCCAAGTTTGGACAACACTGGTCTATGGAATGAACCAACTGACAACGAAGGGGAATTCCTTTCATTTCAAAGGGATGTTCTTGAAGACTGCTAACTGGTTGGTCCAAAATAATAAAGTCCTTTTGGCTGCTTAGCTGGAATGTTCAAATATGGACCATAAATGTTCATTAGTTTCTAAAATGCTTTCTACTGAGTAAAACAAGATATTTACAGTTAAATACATTATTGGCAATCTCTGAGAGATTGTTATGGATCTCAGATTATTCAGGATGTTACCACATATACTTGAATGAAAAAACAAGCCCTAGAAATAAGAAGGAATGCTAAATGTTTCTAGTAGACTACTTAGTCGCTTTTTGAAAAACCCTTGTTAAACTTTTATCCACATATGAGGATAAACATAATCAACTCGTATTTGGTCCTTGGCATGGTGGATTTATTGAAGATGGGTTCAGATGAGTATTCTCTGTGATGTTTGAAGCAATATGCAATGTCTCATCTTTGCAACAGCAAAGATAAAAATGATAATGTTTTTAAAAAGTAAATGCTGGAGATCAAGGTTCACCAAATGCTTAATCACTAAGTTATTAATATATTTAGAAATGGATGGTTACTTTGTTAGTGAAGGAACCACTAACTATGAAAGTGGTGCTGTTATAGGGAGACCCAACATACATTTTCTCACCTGGGTTTATTCTCTCACCTGGATTGCAGCTGAGTCCATCATCTTGCAAAGTAAAACTTGGGAAACATGAACACTTGTAGGATCCCACAGTGTTGATACAGAGGTGTTGACAAAGCTCTCCTGGATAGACAAGGCACTCATCCTGGTCATCCCCAGGCAGGCTGTTTGACATTTCAGGTTCATTACTAATTGACAAGGCTTCATTGTGATCCTCTGTCTCTGTAACTGACAATGTTCCGTAGTCATCAATCATGATAAGAATTCATGGAAAATACCTAGTCTATGCATATTGTATGACTATGTGTAGCATAGTATGTTAACAAAGGAATAATCTGTTCTACAGGATGGCTTAGCATACCTCTGAATGCTAATGGACACAGTACTACAGATGGCAGGGAGTCTTCAGTAGGCATAAATAATTTGATCTTCATCCATTGGAGGTTCTTGCCAACAGCTCTTGCCTGCCCCTAACTGAATGCCCTAAATGCTTTAGTGGGAACTTTTCTCTTGACAATGCCCCTTCTCCCAAGGCAAATAATCACTGTCTTCCCTGTCACTTGATCACAATGAGCCTTCCCATATAAACTTGCAGAGGATAGGAAGGATGCAGGATGGCTGCTAGACAGCCAAGCGATGGATCCCAAGAGATCTTATTTGTAGGCATTCCAGATTGCAAAAAATGCTGCATGATATGCAAAGATATGGGATAAGCAGCAATAAAGACACTGACCCATGAATTAAGATTTGCAATAGGTCAGAGGTTTCATGCATGCAGAGCAACTTTAAGAGGATCACAAAGCCGAGATCCATTTGCAAAAAGAGAAGCATGTATTGAATGAGTGATATAACATCTAGCAGTGATTTATAGAATCAGCTTCTATAAGATTGAAGATAAATGTATATGAAAAAAAGGTTTGTTTTTAATGGCAAATGTCTTTTTTCAAGTTCAGGTTCGATGCTTGCCTCTCGGCAAGCTCAAAATATGCTGCAACATTAACACATGGGACAAATTAGCTCTTCGGTTTTCATTGCTATGGGTTGGAGAGGAAAGGGAAGCCTAAAGGGTAAGCGTAATTGATCTGCTAAACTGGCAGGAAGAAAAGCTCAGAGAGGAAAGCTGAACTTTAAAATGCCCATTGATTAAAAGCAATTGCTTCAGCTCTAAGTACACAGTTCATCTGGTCAGCAAATACAGAGGGGAAACAGAAGAGGGGAAAATTGATTCGCTCTGGTCATACACAATAGGCGGTGGCTGATGTAAACTTTTGATTGATCTGATTGTATTCTATCACTTTTCAGATTTATAACAAGTAAGTTTATAAATGATAAGAACTCACAACTGTTCGGTGTTTGTGTTCCTGTGTGTGTGTGTGTGTACATACATATGTATGGGTTTCTTGGAAGGTTCACAATTTTTTCCAGGCTGTGGGTGGCTGTGTTTGGCCTTTGAATGGTATACCAGGGACCATACTCACTTGATTTAATTCCTTTAATGAAATAATTCCATATTTCATTATCAAAAATATAATGAATGACTACTCTCCATCATATAATTAATCATTTTCCTTTTCTGTCACCTTAAAAATTGTACTTTTGTGATACCTTGTAGAGGAGTCCAAATGTTTTCAGGGGCTGCAAACAACCTTGGAGCTTCAGGGGCCTTTTACATAAAAACATGATGCATTTCCTTTAAAACTTGTATATCACACTTCCCTGACCTGGTATAATCTAGATGTGTTGTAATGCAACTTCTGTCTTCCACAGCTATCAAGGTAATTACGGGGATGGCTGGTTCTCTAGTCCTACCTGACCAATATTATCTGATCCCAGGCTGCAATAATACCACCATCGCTTGGATTTTATCATATTTAATAATTGTATTTTATACTGTGCTATTTATGTTTTTATTGGTTTTAACTGTTTGGTTGTGAACCGCCCAGAGTCCCTCCTTGTGGGGGAGTTAGGCAGTGATATAAATTTGATTTATAAATAAATAAATAAATAGCTAGCTGATGAAGAAGCTCTGAACTTTTTTTAAAGTTTACTCAAAATATGAAGAAATGAAATTGAGTGACCCACCCATAAAAACCCAAGGTTAATCTAGCACTGTTTCTTTTATTCAAAAGTCATTCTTATGACTTCAGGAGCTGCCTGGCCTATTATCAGAAGCAGAAAAACATACATAATCAATTTTTTAAGATTTTGAGTAACAAGACAACTTATCATTTTTCTAGCCCACCATTTACCCAAAAGAATCCATGCGGGAACACTTCTGACTGGAGTGTAAATTCCTCAATCAGTCACCCAAAAATATTGAATAAATCAAAGAGCAACAAGCCACAGAATAAAAATAGTTCTTGCATTTTTGGTACAAGGAAGGAATGACAAGGAAAAAGCATTCCAGGGGAAATACGACACAGTTAATATAAAGATCCTGTTTCTCATCACTTCCAGTCCCAAGCAAATTCCACTTGCTGGTGAACCAGCAGCACGATTCTGCACATATCCATGTAGGTATCTGGACTTAGTTCCAGATAAGCAGTTATAGATCACAGTTCATACTTTCAGCCAATAGTCTTTTAGTATCTAAGCTTTTAAAAAATACATAACGACTGCTGCTTGCATGCAACTTTCAATTACCATATGTTTTAATTTAATTTAGTTTAGTTTAGTTTAATTTAATTGGGGGGTGTTTGCAGATTTTTAATTAGGGAAAGATGAACCCTATCGGATTCCATTTGATTCAAACATCTAAGTCACTGTGAAGTCCAGTGGAAACAGAATGGCTAAATTTGCTCCTAATGGAATTCATGCTTGAATTCTTTTACAGCCCTACTTCTGTGTTATTGTGCTTTTGGTTTGTGGTGTTCCTTAAATTTCATAGTTAATTATATAAAAATATAGCATGCCCAAGGAAAAAAAAAAACGAACCTTTTGAGACTGGAGTAAAAAAATATCCAAGGACAAATATATTTATATGGAAAGATTTTAAAGGAAAATTGAAGCAAGAGGAATCCAAGCTGGGATTCATCAACAATGAAATCTTGTTTCTTAGAGCCTGGATATGTGCGTCTGTTCAATGATATATAGCAAGAATGATGCCTTGGTTTAAATGACATTCTAGCGGAAGCAGAAGGTATTTCTGCTCATATTCCTACCCAGTTTCTATAGGATTCTTCTCCTTAGCTGCACCTTCTCATCTCATGCAGCTCCCACAAGGCTTTGGATGGCTGCCAGCCAGAGGATTCTCCCTCCCTGGCTGCAAACTCTGTGTAGCTCATGGGCTCTTTTGGATGATCCTTTAATCTGAGGGACTGCCACAAAGGAGCCCAAATGACTGCAGTTCATAAAGGGAATGGGAAAGACAGGGGTGAAATTCTTCTCACCAGGCTCCATATAAGATCCAGCTTGGTACAGTGGTTAAGGCATCTGGCTAGAAATCGGGAGACTGGGAGTTCTAGTCCCACCTTAGGCACGAAGCCAGCTAGGTGACCTTGGGCCAGTCGCTCTCTCTCAGCCCTTGGAAGGAGGCAAGGGCAAACCACTTCCAAAAAACCTTGCCAATAAAACTGCAGGGACTAGTTGAGGCAGTTGCCGGGAGTCAACATGGACTTGAGCACACACACCCCAAAAATACTCCATATACATACAGATATTTTAATCTTTCCTTTTAATTTTGGTTTTCAGACAATACCCAAATGCCTGTTTATAGCTAATCCACTGAGGCTGGTGTATTAAAGAAAACACTTCAACATAGCTGTCGTTCTTTAAAAGCTGCAATAGCTCTACTTTTCTCCCCTGTTCTTTTGAGTTTCCATAGGCTCACCTACTTCCTTGAATGTCATCACATTCATTTAGGGGCTTCTTTTGTTAGTAGATATATTTACCATGAAAATGACACCACACATTTAGAGAAACTTTATTTTAAACCTGCATGATTTTCTATATGCTAGCTCATTCTCTAAAAAAAAATAAAAATGAAATGCATAATTCTTTCTACCACATTATTTCCTGGAATAGATTTTCCTATAATACATGACTCGGTCCTGTTTTATGTAAAACCTAATTAAATGTCAAAAACAATAGTGTACTTCATTCATTATAGTCTACCTCTAGAAATATAATTTGTGGAACATTCATGTAAAATAGTTTAGTCATACCCATATAGCCTCTAAAGGAAAAATGGGAATGTTCTGAACTTCTCTTGCAACTTTTGGAAATACTGCATCTATCATTTATCATAGTGGACGTAATTCACATGAAATAATGAAATATTTCTACTTACAGTATCAGTCCCATAGATTAACCAGTGGTGACTCAGACCCACACATAAGGCCAATATGTATTGTCCCCAGGAACTGGTAATTAAAAGATGCCAAATACATATACTTTATTTGTAGGTACCTGTTGCTATGTCCAGTCAAGAAAGAAGTTGGATGCAATTACTAGCAATTTCAGAGACAGCTCTCAACAAAGGAGAGCTGGGACAATCTGCCTGGAAGGTTCTACTGACTTCATAAGAACTTCTATGTTGTAGCCAGGTAACAAATATTACTGTACTGGTGAAATACCAGCCACTGAGACAGGAAAAGGCTGAAAGCCAGATGGATCATGGATTATAGCATCCTCAAGGTGGTAGAGAAAAGAATTTGATACACCTGGCATGCTAATATGCTGCTACGCTCTTCTTCTGTAATAGGACCTCTGTCCACAAGTGATGAATGCTATGCAGAAGTCCTCTTTCTCGTTTCAACTTGATCTGTACCAAGGAAAGGGTACAGTTTAAATTTGGATTTCTTTTATGATGAAAAATGACACTTAAAAATATTATGTTGTCCTGCAGCATAATTCCAAGTTAGCAACTACATATAAGAATTATACTGTCCAAATCTGTCCTAAGAGAAGTTTTCCCCTACATTCAACGTAGCAAGACAGCAACTAAAATTCTCACAGGAAAAAGATGGCTGGATGTAAGAACTGTTATTTAATACTATTATATCTGAGCATATTGGGGATATGTTTTTATAGTATCTAGCTTTACAAACTAATTGAACACCTTTTTGTTTAACAAGAAAGGAATATCATGCGTGGCCATAAGATACACTAGAATTTTAAAGCACTTTTTGACTATGCATTCACCTACATAATTTTCTAATTAATAATCAAAATGCAAGAGCCTATCTACTGGCTTCTTTGGAACCTTGTATTGTTCGTTTCAAGAAGTGTTTTTGTTATTGCTGATTTTGTTATTCTAAAACTCAAAACTGCCAGTTGCTAATAGATATCTTGAGAGAGAGACAGAGAGAGATGTAAGCATCTTGCCTTATGTTTATACAAGTCTTTTTCCATTTGATGAACATATTCTAGGGAAGGAAAATCATGAACTTTATTTAAGCAGGCATTCTTTATCTGGAAGTCTCCATATTAAACATGGGACCATCTGTATCCCATAGTACCTATATATCTATATGCTTTAATATCGCTTTGATTCCAGAAGTCCCCTGACATATATGGACAGCATGTGTTATAGGATAACAACCTGCATCATGACAAAAATAGGTTTATATACATTCCCCTAACTTTTTTGTTAAAAACTTGGCTGGCCTCTTGATAATATGTAACCTCTTTCAAAAACCACCTAGAAGAAAAAGAAGCAGAATCAAATTTTGCACAAAAGCAAACTTGTATAGAAGTTAAAAGTCACCTGTATTTCTTGGACTTGACTTGCCACAGAAAAATGATTGCTTTGCTAACAAATGCAGTATCTTGTATACCTTCAGGTTTGACTATTTTTAATAGTGTGAGAAGATGACTTCCTTCTCTGTTCCCTATAGACAGTAATAGAGCTCTTACGTTTTTCAGGTGTCACTGTTGACAATGGTTCAGGTTGTCTCTTCAGTTCTGGAGAGATAAGGTGGTCTTCTCCATCACAACAGGAAAGCATCACATGATTGCAAGGATAGCCAAGATTCGCATTGGGCTCACAGGTTTGACCCTCATTTTTTACTCGTTGGCCCAACATGCAGCAATCACAACATTGCTGAAAGAGAAAGGGGCCATTAACACAGCAACTATGCTAGTGTAACTTAGTGCTAGCAAAATGCCTTAAGCTGGCTGAAGTGTATGGATATCAAAAAGTGCTGGTCCATGACAGTTTTATGAACACTGCTCTCACAAACTCAGAGAACCCATAGGGGTTATTAATTCATTTATAAATTTATTTCTGAATCATCTTTCCAGCCAAATAGAAACCAGTGTGACACAGAATTTAATTCAATTTACACAATTGCAAACTGCAAAAATTAAGAACTACTTCAACCTAATAATTAAAAAAAAAATCACTCGGAAGTCAGGCGAAACAAAGATTTTTATAACTCACCTAAAAATAAACAAAGAAGAGCCTAGTCTAGTCTTTCAAAGAAAGTTCCAGAACTGAGATACTACCACAGATTAGACTTTATTTTGTGTTTCAACCAACCCAGCCTTTCTTGATAGAGGAACATGGAGAACAGCTTCCAAAAAGTAGTTCTTAAACTAGAAGTAGCAAACTTATAGTCCTCACACAGCCCTCACATGCATTTTTGAAGCCTCAAGATCCCTGACATTACAATGCTTAAATGTAGAAATTATTGTCGGTCATATAGTCAACCAGATATTTAGACTGGATTTGGCATTTTTATTCACCTATCGAGTCCTTCCCAAGGACCTGGGATAGACAGATGTTGTTGTTTGATAGGTGTTAAAGGTATCATTGCAGGATGGAAGCTGTTCCAAGTGAAGCTGCCTTTTGCAATTGACTGATGGTGATTTTGTCAATATTATTGTTGGTCATACAGTCAGCCAGATGTTTAGGCTGGATTTGGCATTTTTATCCACCTGTCAAGGCCTTCCCAAGGACCTGGGATAGGCAGATGTTGTTGTTTGATGATGTTAAAGGTATTGTTGCAGGATATTATTATTACTACTACTACTACTAGTACTATATTTTAGTAGCACATTTTTTCCTTTTTTTCATAAAATAAGCTCTCAAGAAGGTACACTGAGTCTCTGGTAGGCTCATCATACCTATTCTGGTTAAAAACAATTTCCTGAACTTCTCCAAACTGTCCCTGTGGCTTTCAAGCCACCCCCCACCCCAAAAAAGAAAGGATCCATCTTAAACTATGATCATGTTTTATATGAAGAGAAGGCAATTTTACAGATTCCCTGTCCCAAATGATTCTTGGTTTCAGTTTGTCCATACCAGAAAATTATTTTCAAATACTTTACTTTTTTTTCATACAAATGGATGGTAATCTTTAATATCAATTGCAAAATTAATGGGATGTAGTTACATCTAATGGAAATTGAATCTCATACTTTTATCAAGGATTCATATGCTATTTCTAATGATATTTTTTCAATAGTTTGTATAGCTCTAGGATTTTTCTTTCTCAAGCAATAGCTTGATTGCTTTATATTTCCTAAGCCCACCAGAGGTCTTCCACGAATTCAATCAATGTTGCCTTGGAGCTATGTCCAAGCCTGAATCCTGACTATGACAGGGCCAGATAATCCGCTTCCTCCAGCAATCTCTGAAGCTGCAGGCCTACCACCTTTTCCACAACTTTCCCGAAAAGAGGAAGGTTGGAGCCTGGATGGAAATTGTCTGGGTGCAGTGATGGCCTCTCTTTTTTTTAATTAGAACTTTTATTAAGATATATAAAAAGTACAA